CTGTACAAAATATGAAACAGGAATTTTCTTCTATCCAAAGGGGAAAAAAATTGGTTTTAATTGTTTTAAAGACTACTCTTAAACCAGCACCATGTGTGATGATCAAGTACAAAATGGAATCTGTAAGGCCAGTCAGTCACGAGGCCTTTCCAATAGTTCAGAAGGAAAGCAAGACTCAGCAGCAGCCACTGAGCAGACTGGACACCACTTGTTCATAAGCTTCGCTCCAATTCCCCTGCAACCATGTCTGACAAACCTGATATGGCTGAGATTGAGAAATTTGTTAAGCTGAAGTTGAAGAAAACAGAAATGCAAGAGAAAAATCTACTGCCTCCATAAGAAAAGACTGAACAGAAGCAAGCAGGAAAATCATACACGCACCACCTACATGCACTGTACATTCCATAGCATTGTCGTATTTTACTTCTTTTAACTGTTTAACTTTGTAAGATGCAAAGAGGCTGGATCAAGTTTAAATGACTAAGCTGCCCCATTTCACATCAGGGAACTACTGATCACGAAACTCACACCTGCCTCTCCCATCTGCCTGGCTGGTTGGCAGGGCAGGAACAGCACTCACATGTTCGCATGTTGGTGAAGGAAGAAGCTGGGTGGGGCAACAGTGAAATCTAGAGTAAAAACCAAGCTGGTCCAAGATGTCCTGCAGGCTGTAGAATGCAGTTTAATCAGAGTGCCATTTTCTTTTGCTTAAAATCCTTTTAATTATTGAAATGCACAATTTTTTAATATGCACATAAAAAAGTTTTGAAACCAGAAAGGAGGGCAAGAAATAAAAAGTACAGACAATACGGTTATAAGATCAGAAACTAAGTGATCTTAAGAGAATCCAAGGGAAACTCTAAGGAACAATTGAAGATAATACCAGAAGCCTGGGTAACTTGGGTAGATGGTATTATCACTAACAGGCAAGAAATATTTACTGAATTGAATCACTGTAACAAGCAACTAACACACACGCCTAAATTTTAAAGTAAAGACTAAGATTTTTGAAAATCCCAAGTTCCAGTTGGCAATGGTGCGAAGAAACAGCACAGCACTCCAATACTCTGTAGGAGGGAAGTAAACTCAACTCTATATACAACTATTCTAGAGAGCAATTTGGCAACACGCTTAAGAACATGCATAACCTTTAATCCATTAACTTCAACTCCAGGTATTTACTAAAGCATAGAAAAACACTAGAAAAGTAAAGCCCCAAATCTTAATGGTGCTAACCAACCTCATGCTATGAGCTTATAAACTGGCTAATTATCTTTGCAGTTTTTTTGTGATGTCTCCAAACTTTTCTTACAAATAATGTATATTGTTTTTATTTTATACCTGTGACATTTAGGTATTATTTGAGGGGGAAATAAAATCTTAAAATTTTATGCCAAAGTATAGCTGATATTCAGACTCAAAAAGTAAAAAAGTTTTGTACTTTGACTGAGTTACCATTATTTTACTGAATCAATTTTATTTTCTTGTATGCTTGGGCTTGGTACCAACATCAACAAAAATACACAACACTACTGTGGCATACAGCAGTATCCATTTCAGTCCTTTCAGGTTTAATGAAACAATGCAGTTTGCCATCAAATAGATGGATATGTAAATTACACTGTACTGTGCTATTAAACCTAATCTTTACAGGATAGAATCATTTTATAGAATGATCTACAAATAAGAGCTTACAAGAAAAACTAAAGCTTTTAGTATATTTTGCCTTTAAGTATATTTTCTCATATATTGCCAAATGAAGTAATATCCAAGTACCATAATTTAAATATTTTACAAAAACAAGTTTATAAATTAATATATCCAAGTTTTCATCCAAGTGCTGAAATCAGAAGCTCTCATCAGAGAAACCAAGGTAGAGTTGGTAAAGTAAAAGTGAGACAATCTGACCACAAAAATAAGAACTGGCAAAGACCCTCTTCAAAGCCTACTGTTCTGTAGAGGCTTTTCTCCCCAATATTGGGGCTAGGACTGAGCTAAAAATCCAGAAAAATGCTCCCAATATTTAAGATACCTGGAATTGCCCTGGCCAGTGTAGCTCAATTGGTTGAGCATCATCCTGGGCACCAAAAGGTCGCTGGTTCGATCCCTGGTCCCCATCAGGGCACATGCCCAGGTTTTGGGCTCGATCCCCGGTGCAGGGTGTGAAGGAGACAGCCAATCAATATTTCTCTCTCTCCCTTTCCCTTCCTCTCTCTGAAATCAATAAAAACATATTTGAGCCCAGCCAGTATGGCTAAGTGGTTGAGCACAGACCTATGAACAAGGAGGTCTCATCTCAGTTCAATTCTCGATCAGGGCACATGTGGGCTTGATACCCAGTAGGGGTAGGCAGGAGGCAGCCGATTGATGCTTCTCTCTCATCGATATTTCTCTCTCTCCCTCTCCCTTCCTCTCTCTCTAAAAAGCAATAGAAATATTTTTTTTTAAAAGGTAATATATTTTAATTGTGATGGGTTTTAAGCACTGGAACTATGTAACACCCAAATGTTTTATACTTTAGCCTTCAGATTATCATCTCAGTGAGAAAGGAAAAATACATAAACAGTAAGTCATTTTTTTTAATTAACAGTGTATGATCACATGCCAAGATGAACAATACAAGTCGTCATGATAAAAAGTTCAGAAAAAGGAAGAGATCAATATGGACCAGAGCAGTACTTCTCAAACATTAATATGCTATAAATCATCTGATACACTAGATTGGGAGAGGGGCCTGAGATTCTGAGCTACTGTATTTCTACATTTCTAACAACCTACTGAGGCCAATTCTGCTTGTCTTGCTGGTCCACGGGCCATACTTGTAATGCTCTATTTCTCAAGTTGAAAGGCAGGTGACTGGATATATTTTGTAATTATTTAAATTATGTATTATAGACACTATTTACATGTATGACATTTTGATTTTTTTTATACTTCTTTGCTAAAGTTATCAATGATCTTTTTAAAGACTTAGGAACTTGGCGGTGACAAATTCTAACAGCAATGAGTAAAAGAAACAGTGGAAGACTGCTAATATAGAAAAATTTTAACCTTTAACTTCAAGAGGAAAAAAGTGGGATTAAGAGTGGAACACAGAGTGTTAAGTAGACAGAGCTGAATATTTTAATATGGGAATTTCTTGAAGATATTAAGGGAAAGACACTATTAAAGAAACAGGAATTGATAAGTAGGACCAAAGGTAGAAAAGGAAAGGTTCAAGAATAGAAGAAAAATTGGTCTTGGCCACTATCAAGGTGCCAGGAACAAATGCAACTAAAAATTAGGCTTACCAAATAGTTCTGTGTGGCTAGAATATACAGTTCCTAGAAAGCTTGAAAATACTAAGAATTAAACACAAAAGCAAGGACAACATCTTGGTGGGCCTCAAACTCATTGCAAAGTCACTGTAAACATTTCAGGAAGGCAGTTAACAAGATCTGAACTTTCACAGTAAGTGAATGTTTTAATAAAAGTATGAAAAGCAGACTGAAAAGGGCTAAGATAACAATTCAAGATAGCATTAAAATAATCTACAAAAGATTATCAGGACATGAACAAGGAGAAGTACAAAAATAAAATGAAATCTTTTATTCATTCACTTATTCTACCAATGTCAGTTAACAGGTTCTGTATTGAGGATAACGAGTGAAAGAGCATAATCCCGGCTTGCCCTTAGCGTGCATTCTGGTGGAGGAGACAAGAAAACAAACGAGCCAGTCACGGGCAGTGGAAAATGCTATGAAGGAAATATAGGATGGTGTGATGGAAAGTGACGAGGAAGAGGCTACTTCCGACAGGGTTATTACGCAAGGATTCTCTTGAGATGGTGAATTTGATATATTTTGGAGGTGGAACCAACAGGATTTGCTGTGGGACTGGATGTTGAGGACAAATGAAAAAAGAGAACAAATGTAGGTTAATGCCTACGTTTTCTGACTTATTCAATTGGGTAGGTGGTAATTCCATTTACTAAGATGGGAAAGACTGAGGTAATAGCAATGAGGGGGAAGAGATGTGAGAGGGGGAGAACTCACTGATTTTATTTCGTACGTGTTAAAGTTGAGGTGCCTATCCAAATAGTGATGTCAGGCAGGCAGTCAGGTATTTAAGAGTGGCATTCAAAAATCAAGTCTGGCAAGAAATAGAAACCTAGGAGTTATCGGAATATAAATAATAAAGCCACAAGAAGGGACGTTAAAGAGAGTTTACTAATATAACTATTACAAATAATAGCAGCAGCAGCTAAGAGAAAATGGAAACTTACTATGTCCCAGACATTGTGCTAGTTATTGATACACATTCAGCCAATATTAATCATCAAAACAACTCAGATGAGGAAAATAAGGCATAAAGAGATCAGGTAACTTGCCCAAGCAGTTTGAATCCAGAGGTGTGCTTTTAACTACTTTGTTACGCTATGTCAAGCAGAAACCAGGTATCAGGAAGCCTAAACCCAAATCCTGAGGCAGTCTAACATTCACAGATGCGGGAAAAAGAAGCGAACACAAAAGATGTTTATTCCAATTATGCGGACAAAGTGCTGAACCACGGGCTCAAAAGTGGGTGCGAGGTAAATCTCCACTTGGGAAGTTAGAGATGTCATATCCCAGCAGGGAAGCAATAAAGTTTACCCTACGCTCCCTTCCAATAGCCCTAGAGTCCTAGATCCTTCTCGACACCGAGGGTTCACCTGCTAGTCTCCCAAGAAAGTTTTTCTCCAAGTCCTATCTCCCAAGCATCTCAAAACAAGACCCCAAGAACCTGCCACACACACACCCCCAGCCTCGGTCCCCTTTCTCAGCCCTCAATGCCCCCGTCAGATGTCAGAGAAGGCCGCTGCGTCTCCCGAACAAAAAGTGGAGATGAAAGAGGGTTTAAAGGGAAAACCTCGGCCCAGGCTCACCTAGCCCAGAGGGGAGGCTGCCGGGAAGCGCTTCTGGTGGGACCCGGCTGGGAACTACGCTCCCCACGTGGGCCCGCGGAGATGGCACCCCACTCACCAAGCCATCTATCTGCACTTGCTTCACGGCCGAGTCCCCGGGCCCGCCTTTGACTTTGCCTTTCCCTGCCGCACCGGCGGCGGAGCTAGAAGAGGTGGGGGCCGAGCCGGTGCCTTCCTTGCGGGACGCCATCTTTCCAGCGGGACCGGAAGAGAGAGAAACGTGAGTACTCGGAAGCGGAAGTACAAGCTTCACGTGACGTCATGCGCAGGGCGCCGTTCGAGGGGCGGGGCGAGAGGCACGGCTGGAGCAGGGCCCCGCCTCCCGTCTCTTGCTCAGCATCAACGCTTCCTCAACGGAATCCTTTGCGCGTGCGCACGGTGGGTTTGCGGCTTCCCCGTAAGATACTTTTAGGCAAAAGTAGACTTTTTAAGAAGACTGTGTGGCAAACACGGCAGAGACTGGGGTGATGTGTCTAGAAGTCAGGGAACCCCAAAGATTGCCGGGAAGCTGGAAGCAGAGAGACGGGCGCGGAGCAGCTTCTCCCCCGGCGCC